CCCCAAAACCCCAAAACCCCAAAACCCCAAAACCCCAAAACCCCTATTTAAAAAAAATAATTGATGAAATAAAACTATCTTCGCGATATAAAAATAATTTTGTAAAAAGAATGGCATCTTCTTTACAACATATTTCGGACAAAATGATGAAAATGGACATTGACAAACTTGGTGTTCAATCACTTGGGCTTTCGTTAATCCCTGCAGTGCCAGATAAGTTCTTAATAAAGTATGATCCTCCTAAAATCTGAGTGGTCTATCACTTCAAAGACCACTCCGAGAAAGACCAATATTGGCGCGATATTCCACTTGAATTCAACACTGACTCCACAGCAAGCTCGGTCACCGACTTCTTGTTCAAAGAACACAGTTACTACTTCGACTCCAGTCTGGTCGGCCAAGAACAAGTCAGCAAGTTGGTTCGGATGATTATCAAGAACAAAGGTAACGGAGCCCACAACGAGGATTCCAAAGCCGCACTGGCTGATAACTGAGAAACGACTCATAATAAACATAAGCCAAACAGACTCTTTGATGATATCCAGAAAGCAAGGGATCTCGGAGCAGGTGTTGGAGAGTCTCTGCCTAAGAAGAACGCTCTTGAGCCTCTGAATCACCCGCCTAAGGGCAAGCTAGAGCCTCTTCAGAACAAGCCTCAGCCTGCAGATGATGGCTTCGACTTGCTGGACATAGATGATTTGAGTGGACCTGCAAAGAACAACACGAACAACGAGAACAAGCCAGGGCCGAGCAAGAATGACAACATTGAAGACGACTACGCATTCGACTTCGAATTCGAGACTCCTGCAGACAACGGAGGCACCAAGGCAGAGACTCAGAAAGAAGAGAAGCCAGCTGCAAAAGAGCAGAAGGCTTCGATAAATATGGAAATGTTCGAGAAAGAGAAAGAAAAATAATGAAGCTCAAAACCAAAGCAAAGATGATAAAGATGAAGATGACTGGCTCATTATAGAAGGAAAGAAATACCGAGAAATCAATATTGAAGGGGACGATAACGAGTACATCATGGATGAAGAAGGCAATATTTATGATCTTAAAGGTGTCTACATTGGGACTGCCAAAGACGGAGGCGAAGAATCTGAAGAAGAGGAGGATAAATAATCAAATTTATATAAAGTTAATAATTCAAATTAGAATCTCAAATTAGGGGTTTTGGGGTTTTGGGGTTTTGGGGTTTTGGGGTTTTGGGG